GGCATGCCATTGGTTATAGATATTGATTATATTTAACTCTATCTTTTCTTCCCTTCCCTCTAGTTTGAGATTGGTACAATGGAAGAAGCTGGAATTTGTGGGTTAGGAGTGAAACCAGACATGTGTAACTCTCAAGCAAATGATATTCTTCAACACGAAGACTCCAGTTGTGGTGGCACAACTAAGACACATTCATTGGAAGGGGATGAAGACAGTGACTTTATAACAAAGAACAGGAATTTGGTGAGCTCAGCATTCTGTGCACAGGAATCAAGAGAAGAAATTCCTGGACAAGAAGCTCGAACCGGTCCTCCGGATGGCCAGCAAGATTCAGAGTGCAGCAAAAACAAAGAGAAAACCTTAGGTAATAAACTCTAGTCAATAGTTCAATGTTGTTTTCATCTAGTGCTCAATTTATTCACATTGTGTGTGAGACAGGTGACCTGTTGCGGGCCAGTGAAATGGCTCAGTGTGTAAAAGTACTTGCTGCTAAGCCTGGGAACATGAGTCTGATCCCTGGGACTCACTTTGTCGAAGGAGAGCAGGACTGCTACACATTTCTTCTGTGCACGCCTGTGTGCATGCACTCTCTCCCCTCTCTCCTCTACACACACACACACACACACATTTCTTCTGTGCACGCCTGTGTGCATGCACTCTCTCCCCTCTCTCCTCTACACACACACACACACACACACACACACATTTCTTCTGTGCACGCCTGTGTGCATGCACTCTCTCTCTCCCTCTACACACACACACACACACACACACACAGTACATCAATTTAAAATAAACACCTCTTGCCTCAGGTGAGTCATCTTGTCTGCTGTACCTCTATGTACAGGAGGTGGAAAGAACAATAGGAAGCTTAGTTCTCTCTATATAATCAAGAATTCTAAAAATATTTTGAGGACACAATGACAATTGACTTATTTGCATCTTTACTAGGCTGATCAAAGATTGGACATAAATTTTTTTTTAAAGATTTATTTATTATGTATACAACATTCTCCCTCGATGTATGCCCGCATGCCAGAGGAGGGCATGAGATTTCAGTACAGATGGTTGTGAGCCACCACGTGGTTGCTGGGAATTGAACTCAGGACCTCTGGAAGAGCAGCCAGTGCTCTTAACCTCTGAGCCATCTCTCCAGCCCCTGGACAAAAAATTTTATAGATAGTATGTTAACTGTACTGCAGAAAATGAGCTCACCAAGTTTCAAAACTTTTTTTCTTTCTTCTATATTGCTTGTATTTCAGATCAAGGATGTGATATGCTTAATTTTTATATCTGGTATTTTTTTTTTTGAGACAAGGTCTTATATAGTTCAGGGTGACTTCAAAATTCTTTTTGCTTTTTTTTTTTTCTCCCAAGACAGGGTTTCTATGTGTAGCCCATCCTGGAACTCACTCTGTAGACCAGGCTGGCCTCGAACTTTGAGATCTACCTGCCTCTGCCTCCTGTGTGCTGGGATTAAAGGTACACACCACCACCACCTAGCCAACCTCAAACTTCTTATGTAACTGAGGCTGACCTTTAACTCTTGACTTAGCTCTCAAGTGCATCAAGGCATGCATGCCTGACCATACCATTAAATTGTGTGTTGTATGTTGTGTCATTCTCCCTCACAGCAAGGATTGAACCTGTGGCCTCATGCATGCTAGGCGAAGACTCTACCACTGTGCTAGATCACCATTTTGTGATGTGCTGAATCTCATGAAGAAAACTGAAATCTCCTTTGAGTCTTACCCCTCAGCCTTTTTATTTATTTATTTATTTATTTATTTATTGTTTTGTGTTTTATTTTTGAGACAGGGTTTTACTATGTAGCCCTGCCTGGCCTGGAATTTGCTATGTAGACCAGGTTGGCCTCAAACTTACAGATAACTACCTCTGTCTCCCAAGTGACAAGTGCTGCAATTAAAAGTTTACCACTAGGGCTGGAGAGATGGCTCAGTGGTTTAAGAGCATTGCCTGTTCTTCCAAAGGTCCTGAGTTCAATTCCCGGCAACCACATGGTGGTTTACAACCATCTGTAATGAGGTCTGGTGCCCTCTTCTGGCCTGTAGGCATACACACAGACAGAATATTGTATCCATAATGAATAAATAAATAAATATTTAAAAAAAAAAAAAAAGTTTACCACTATAACTGAAACCCCTCAGGTTTTCATACTTTACATCTTAGATTGATAAGTTGTGGATTTTTTTGCAATTGTAAAGTCTTATAATTCTACTAAATTATTTGATCAAAGTGGCAATGACAATTTTAATAGGAGTGTCAAATTGACCATGCTGAAAACATAACTGCTATGCTAAACACAACTCATCAAAATATCTACATACATACTTGGAAAATTACCAAATTTTATTTGGTGAACATTCAAGTGGCATCAGGTCTAATTTTCAAAGGCTTGTTTTTTGTTTTGAGACAGGATCTTCTTTTAGAGCCCTGACTGACCTGAAATCACTACTTAGACTGTGCTGGCCTTGAACTCACCTGGGATTAAAGGTGTTTGCCGCTTCCACCAGCTCTTTTTGGAAGGGGTTTTCTTTTTTCTTTTGAGACAAGTTCTCATATGTATCCCAGGCTGGACTTGAACTCTGTGTGTAGTCAAAGAGGACCCTAGCCTCCTAAACATTTTGACTTCACCTCCCAAGTTAGATCAATAGTGTGTACCACCATGGCTTGCTTGGGTTACCTTTCTTACTAACGTAATCTCCTGCTACTCTTTAAAATGTAAAAAGTTGCCAGGCAGTAATGGCACACGCCTTTAATCCCAGTACTTGGGAGGTGGATCTCACAGTTCAAGGCCAGTCTGGTCTACAGAGTGAATTCTAGGACAGGCTCCAAAGCTACACAGAGAAACCCTGTCTTGAAAAACGAAAAAAAAATGTAAAAAGTTAAGGAATATGAAAAATAGTTTTTGAGACAGAGTCTCTCTGTAGCTTTGGAGCCTGTCCTGGAGCTAGCTCTTGTAAGCCAGGCTGGCCTCAAGCTCACAGATTCGCCTGCCTCTGCCTCCTGAGTGCTGGGATTAAAGGCGTGCACCACCAACACCTGGCTAAAAAATATTTTTAATTCCCTAAAAATGATACATTTCTTAAATCAATAGCCAGGGCTAGAGGTAGATGGAGGAACAAGAAGTGACTGCTGTTGGGTATGGTTTGCTTTGGGTGTTAATGAACACTACCCAGGTGGATAGCTGTGACAGTTAGTTGTGCAACCCTGTAAATATACTAAATTGTCTACTTTTTGTTTACTCTAAATGGTGTATTTTAAAAGTGAATTTTATGTAGGGGAATGGTACATACCTATCATCCCAGCTACTTTAGAGGCTGAGGCAGGAGGATTGTTTGAGCCTAGGAGTTCAAGGTCAAACTGTATAACATATCTCTAAAAACAAAAAAGTTAAAATAAATGAAAACTAAATTATAGTATCCAAATTCTGTTTTATAAACAAAAGATTCCTAACATTGCAAAACAAAACAAAAACCCTTGAGTTTAAGAATTCTCGATGTTCTTTATGGTTTGTTTCTTTTTCTTTTTTTGAGACAGGGTTTTCTTGTATAGCCTTGGCTGTCCTGGAACTCTGTAGACCAAGCTGGTCTCAAACTCAGAGATCTGCCTGCCTCTGCCTTGCAACTGCTGGGATTAAAGTTATGCGCCACCACTGCCAGGCTTTCTCATAATGTTCTTGTTGAAATGAGTCTTGAGTTTTACTAATAAAATTTCATGTGGCTAGAAAAGTTTCCTCCTTTGGGAGGTGGAAGACAGTGTCTTATTCTATTGGCCTGAAATCTTGGGCTACAGGGGTCTTTCATAGGCTTAAGCCATCACTGTACTCACATTTAAAAGTATTCAGTTTTGAAGTCATTCCGCTATTTTATTTCTATAGCAATCTATATACCAGAGCCACTAAGACATATACATATATAGCTCGGGTGTAAGAGTGAACTTTTTTAAAATGAAAATGGTGCCAGGCAATGGTAGTGCAAGCCTTTAATCCTAGCACTCAGGAGGCAGAGGCAGGCAGATCTCTCTTAGTTCAAGGCCAGCCTAATCTACAAAGAGAGTTCCAGGACAGCCAAAGCTTTTTATTAGAAGAAACCCTGACTCAAAAAAAAAGGAAAGGAGGGAGGGAGGGAGAGAGAGAGAGAGAGAGAGAGAGAGAGAGAGAGAGAGAGAGAGAGAGAAATATCTTGGGGCCGGGGAAATGGCTCATTGGTATTGCAGAGGATCCAGATTTGGTTCCTAGCACCCAAATGATGGCTTACAACCATCTGTAACTCCAGTTCCAGGAAATCAGACACTTTGTAGGCTCTAGGCATACACAAGGTGTACATACATGCAGGCAACACACACACACACACACACACAAAATAAAATAAATCTCAGAAAAAGAAAATGGTACTTGTCATCCAGTTTAAGAAATCCCAGAGGCAGAGGCAGGTGGATCTTTGTTAGTTCAAGGCCAGCCTGGTCTACAGAGCAAGTTCCAGGACAGGCTCCAAAGCTACACAGAGAAACCCTGTTTCCAAAAAAAGAATCAAAAAAAGTAAAAAGGCCTAATTAGCAGTGTTATTGGGTGTAGACATTTGGCATGGGGGTGAATGAAGAATAGAGGAGGTAGAGTCCATTAATTTGGAATGTACAAGTAGCTCCTTTCCTTGATGAAAATCAAACTTAGGACACAAGTGGTAACTAATTGCTCTTCCACTTACCTATATATCCTAAATAGTTTGATTTGGTTTTGGTTTTTTGATACAGGGTTTTACTCTATGGCCCAGGATGGTCTTGAACCACAATTAGCAGTTTGAACCAACATGACCAGCTCAAAATATCTTTCAGAATTGAGCTGGCAAATACTATATTCCTATTTGTAGGTATAAATTATTTTGTTCTGAGATTAGAACATGGGAAGTGTTGGTAGAATTCACAGGTTAGATTTGATCGTATTATTCAGGATTTCTTTCTTATCTTGTTAATTATTAGGAAAAGAAGTTTTATTGCTGATGCAAGCACTAAACACCCTTTCAACCCCAGAGGAGAAGCTGGCAGCTCTTTGTAAGAAATATGCTGATCTCGTGAGTATTCAGTCAACTGCGAGGGCCATACAAATATAACAGAATATATGTGTATGCTTGATAGGCTTTTTAAAATATTAATTTTGATGTATCTTAAAATGTAAAATATCTTATGCAAAAATTGGAAGAGAATCTGATTTCTTGAGGCCTTTTTTTGTTGGTTTCATGATTTTATTTTGTTTTATTTATTTATTTTTTGGTTTTTAGAGACGAGTTCTTGCTATGTAGTATTGGCAGGCCTGGAACTTGCTATATAGACTGGATTGGTATTAAATAACTCATAGTTGTTAACCTGCCTCTGCCTTTTCTGCATTGGTATTAAAGGTGTGTGCCAGCACACCGAGAGACTTTTTCTAGCACACAGAGAAGACCAAAAGCTGCGGTATAGACAGACCTTTTCCTTTCCTTTGTCTTTGAGGGTCTGGTTTTATTGTGCATCCTAGTCTTCAGCTTCTGGGCTCAAATGATCCTTCTGCCTCAGTCTTTTGAGTAGTTGAAACTACAAGCATATGCTGGCTGGAACAGATTTTCTAAAACTCAGTGTTACTACTATTTAGTGTGTGTGTGTGTGTGTGTGTGTGTGTGTGTGTGTGTGTTGCATGCCTGTAATTACAGTACTTGAGAGGTAGAGGTAGGAGGATTAGGAATTCAATGTCATAGAGGGTATGAGGCTAGACTGGAATACATACATAAGACCTACTCAAAAAAATTTTTTTTGAAATAGCATTGGTTGTTCTGGAACCTGATATATAGACTAAGCTGACTTTAGACTCCTCCTTTTATAACCCAGATGTTGAGATAACAAGTGCTAAGGCACTCTCTTGTGTGAGGATACAATTGTGCCAAAGGTCACTGGAAGGACATTGGGTCTTTCCATTTTATTGTCTTGAGATAGGGTCTTTTACTGAAGCTGCTAGTGATCCTCTTGACACACACATACCTTCTCCAAATAACACAGGGTTATAACTGTCTACTTTTTATATGTGTACTGGGGGTTTGAACTAATATACTTGCACAAAAAGCACTCTTACCCCACTGAGTGCTTTTGGGATGAGTTTCTCACAACATGAAAAGCATTATCAAACATGTACAAGCTAGGCTCAGCAGTTCAGAATGTTTACTGTTCTAGCAGATGACGTGGGTTGGATTTTTAGCACCCCTGTAGTCCCTCACAATTTCCTGGAACTCCAATTTAGTCAGTTCCAGGAGGTCTAATACCTCTTCTGAATCTGGTGGGTTCCTGCATGCATGTGGTTTGGTGCACATACATACACTTGGGCGGGCATGCATACATACACACAAGATTAGATATTTTTTTAAGAATTTACACAAATTGTTTGGGTGTGGTGATACACACTTGTAATTCGAGCACTTGGGATGCTAAGGCCAGAGCATTGCTGTGAGTTTGAGGCCAACCTAGGCTATACGATGAGACTTTGTGTCCAAAAAAAAAAAAAAAAAACAGAAAAAAATGGGCCAGCAAGGTGACTTAGCTGCTAAAGGTACTTACTGCCAAGCCTGATGAACTGAGTTGGATCCCCAGGACTCACATGGTGGTAGAGAACTGATTCCTACAAGTTATCTTCTAACCTCCACAGGCATGTTGTGGCACATACACACAATAAATAAGTGACTAAATAAAAATTGTAGAAATTGGTCTTGCTGAAATTAATATGTTCCTTCCATAAATATTTTAAAGACTGGGGCCTGTTAGCGCAGACTTGTAATGCCAGCTATTCAGGAGACTAGGGCAAGAGCATCACAAGTTCAAGGGTTATATGGGCAACTTAGTGAGACACTGCCTTAAAATAAATCAACAAAAAAGGGCTTAGTGGTCGTGAGGCTGCCCCAGGTTCAATCTGTAGTAACCGAAAAAAAAAAATCAAAGTACCTTAAAAGATGACATTAATAACCTGGAACATTTCCAACAGAGTAAGACTTAATACAAGAATATCTGAAGCAGGCTTAAGCCCCTAGCTGCTTGTCTAAAAGATTTAGGGTTAGAGTCCACATGGCAGCTAACAACCTCCTATAATTCCAGTTCCAGGGACTCTGATGCCCTCTTCTGGCCTTTGTAGGTACTACATAAATATTGTATATGTGCAGCAAAATGCCCATACACAGAACATTTTACTAACTATATCTGAAAGGACGCCTAGGACAAAGGATGTATAGCTCAGTGGTAAGGCATTTGTCTTACATGTCCAAGGTCTTGTATTCAGTCCTTAGCACAGTAAAATAAAAATGAAAAAAAAATGAATACCTACAAATATGAAAGGAAACAACAAAAGAACAGTGGAAAGCAAGGAAGAAGATAACAAAGAGGTATGACATAAAACTAGAAAACCAAGATACAAAGATAACTTAGCCTAATGGGCCATAAAGACATGTAGATGTGTTAACTTCATATAGTGGTCAGAGAGGAAGACCACAATGAAATGCCATTTCCCTCTCTCCCTCTCTTTTCAAGACAGACTTTCACTATTTATCCCTGACTGCCCTAGAATTCAACAGAGATCTACCTGTGTTTGTCATTGCCTCCTGAATGCTGGAATTAAAGGAATATGCTATCGTGCCTGATCCATTTTATGTTTCTAACATGGAAAAAATTAAGACATATAATCTTCATATGACTTAAAGAGAATAGATTTGCATGGTCTCTTGTCTCTTTTCCTACTTGTTTAAGAAATTGTTGTTAATTACTTATTTATGTGTGTTTGCACATTTGTGCACAGAAGCTAGAAGAGGATTTCAGATCCCTGGAGCTAGGATTATATTATAGGCAGTTTGGACCTTCCTTACATGGGTGTTGGCAATAGAACTAGGATCTTCTGCAAGAGCAATATGTACTCTTAACCACTGAGCCACCTCTCCAGCCCCTGCATGATCTTTTGTACAGTGCTGTTGGGTATACAGATTTGCCAGCCACTCTGAAAACACAGTTTAATAATGCCATATGAATTCAACATCTAGAAGCCAGCACCCTGGAGAATTTCATTCATATATATGAAAGAAACACACACACACACAATGACAATATATTATGTAGCTAGTGGGCTAAATCCAACCAAAGCCTGTAGTAATAAGGGCAGCGGGGCTGCGTCCCCAGCACCCCGGCTGCCTGCTCGGCTAGCTTATGCCCCAAAATAATTACACAGACACTGTATTCTTTTAAGCACTGCTTGGCCCTTTAGCTCTAGCACTTACTGGCTAATTCTCACATCCCGATCAACCCATCTCTAATAATCTGTGAGAACCAGTCTTACCGGGAAGATTCTAGCCTAGTCCATCCTGGGTCGGAGCTTCATGCCGGGAGTGGGGCATGGCGTCTCTCTCAGGTGTCTGCTCCCTAGAGGAGAGCTGTCAAGTCTCTGAGCTCACTTCCTCTTCCTCCTAGCGTTCTGTTCTGTTTACTCCTCCCACCTATCCTCTAACCAATAAAATGGGCCAAGGCAGTTCCTTTATTAGCCAATGACCTTCCTCCATCATTTCCCCCTTTTCGGTTTAAACAAAAAAAAAAGGCTTTAACATAGCAAAATTGCATATAACAAAACAGTTATCAAGTAAAAGTTAAAATAATCTTTATCATAACTAAGGAAAACTATAACTATAACTAACTATTCTTAATTCCATCAAAGACTCCAGAAAGATACAATACTACCTAAGCAAACAGGAAAAAAGCAACTTTTAAAACTTTAGAAATGACAGAAACATCTCGCTGCCTGGACAGTCACCCAAAGTTCCTCTGTACCGTTGGGGCATCCATCTTCAGCCTTCAGGCCCATGCTATCCAGCAGACATTTCCATAAAGCAGGAAAATTCAAAGTCAGTTCAGTCACTATCTGTTGTGTCCTGCAGAATGTCTCCCAGACTCTTTCATGAATCAGGAACCCCGAAAGATCATCTCACCTTAGGCAAGTTCAGTAGACCTCTCTCTGTGGGTTCTCTGTGTCCAGTTTATGCAATAGTCCAGGCGAGAGCTGTTTCTTGCCCAAATGGCTATCAAACTCCATAAGGATCCTCTTCGATGCCCATCTTCCTCTTGAAGTAGATTGGTGCTGCCAGGAGCAGAGTGTCTCATTGTCATGAAAAGTCCTAAGTTATTAAAACATTAAATGTCCTATTCTGTAATCTTTGAAAGACATGAAGAATGTCTATCTAAAATATATCTCTATATATCTAGAAAATCTAACTAACATGACTACAAACTTTGACGATTACTTATGATTATCCATCAACAACCTATATTTCCTAATTATACAGTACATATTTAAATGAACTACACAATCACAATACCTTAATCAAAATCAGAAATACATATACATATAACAAAATTGACCGTAAATCTCTATCAATAAAGCAAAATCTATATTAATGCAAATTATTCATACCTATATCATATCCCCCTTTAAATGTAAAAGAACATTTATAAACATTATTTGGGAATATGGGCGCAGTTATTTCTCTCCAAACTGCTTCCTGCTGAATGGGGGCGTCGTTAATTAGGTCTTTCATGGTATAACCTGTGTGCTAGTTTCATCTCAGTTGGCAGTTGAGCAAAGCAATTTTCTGAAGATGTTCACAACAACCCTTCAGGAGGGCGTGGTCCATCATACCAAATTGGAATAGAAGAAATGAACAGCGTCTCATCCTCTGTGAAAACAAAATAAGAAACTCCTTTCCAAAGCATCATGTCCTTAGAGCCAAATTTCAAAGTCAAGGCATTTTCAAAATATCTTTGTTGAATTAGTTCAGCAGCATTTATAAATAAATATCTTTTAGCATCTGTTGCTCCTTCCTCAGCATTTAAATAATTTAAAGAGAGCATAATAGCATACAGTATCAAAATTCTCTGTGTATTTTCCATCTTTGTGCAGCTTTGTTTTAACCTCTATTTTGTTTATTTTTACTTTTAACTCTTTGCTTTTTGAGACAGGTTCTCTGTATCTTTGACCTGAAGTAACTCTGTAGACCAGGCTGTCTTTGAACTCTCAGAGAAC